GTCAATTATCCAGCATGGGGCCCTATGGGGGCCATAGGAACTGAAAGTGAAAAAACTGGCAGTGGCTGGAAATCACCTCTAGTTTTGAAAACAGATATTTCTGATGCTATATAGTACAAGAAGGCTTTGTGACCTCTTTAAAAGGTGACTTGCAACAACGAAACTCAGTTTCTTTGATCAGAAAAAGGGTGATCCAGTGGAAGTTGGGTGGGTGAGGGGATTCAGGGGCCATAAATCAATTGTTGGAAACCACATGCAGCCTCAATAGTGACCTTTGCCCTGCTGGACTTTGGATTTCAGCATATAAGCGACCCAATGCATAAATGCACATATTGCTAAGTTTCAGGTGCAACCCATTGTTTTCTAAAATGAAAACGATTAATGCTCTTACCTCATCCTTTGCTTTGGCCTTGTCACCCTTGGTATCTCCTTCAGCCTACAAGGAATTTTAAACAGGCAAAGGCTAAATAAACCCACAATAACATCATACTTTCTTTTTGAGATTAAGTCAGTGGTTCCCAATCTTTGATTCACCATATGTGTTGGAGTTCAGGTCCCATAATTTCATACTGCTGGCCAAGTTGGCTAGGACTTCTGGGATATGAAGGCCAAAACAAATGGAGGACCAAAGGTTAAGAACCGCCGATTTAAATATCTGAAACACTTGATGCATTGCAAAGTCTCACCATCTTCCGCAACATACAGTAAGACACAGGATACTGGTATTTGACATCCCTGTGTTTGGTGAGTCAAGAGACTGCTGGTGAAAAAACACAAACAGAACCTTTTTGGTTGCATAGAAGAGGGATATCAGTTCAAAATGGTAATTACTGGAAAAATCAAGTGACTCGTGGGCACAGTAGGTGTTCTGAGGCTCTACAGAGGTATTAAGAGGAATCAAGCTTGTAACATACTAATTTCGAAGGGCTGTACCTTGTCCAAGAACAAAGCTACTTTGAATTGTATTCTAGTCCTTGTGACAATTATTTCAATTAAGTCTGTGTAATGAAAATTAAATATAGTATCTCTTTTCTTTAATAAATACATGCACCTTTGTATGTCCCTGCAAAGAGAGATGTGCTTGTTGGGTGGCTGTGCTGGTAATTGCATTGCCAGATGCTCCTTATTTTGATGCATTATCCTTTATTCTCTAACACTGCAGCTTTAGGCTACATAATGGCTCCTTTTATTTCAGAACACTGTGACCTCTATTGAGTCCATGCAACCAACCCAAGATCTCACTTATTTCTGGAATTTTGATCCTGCAAACTGAGGTTTGTCTGCCTACTCCAGATGGTTCTGCAAATGTATAAAGCCATTTCTCCATACCCCTTCCTTGTGCGGTGACTCTCTTCGATCCAAGAAAACATTCCTGGCTTCAGAACTCAGGCAACTTTCTAGGTCCAATAATCCTCATCCCTCCAAAAACATAACAATATCTATCTATCTTTATATATTTTTAAAAGAATCTGATCTGGAATGTTCCTTGAAGATGAAACCAGGTTTTGGCAGTGCACGCTATTCCATAAGAAAAAGGCAGGCAGGCAGGCAGTGTGTGTGTGTAGACATGTGCCTGGTATGGAGCTTGCAGTTTTAGTTCAGAAACCTCACTTTGTTTCGATTATCAGGGCATCCCTGTACAATAAAGACTTTGTATATGTGGGGCTTCTAAAGCTGAAGATCTCACCCATTATTTATTGCATTGTAGTTGGGGAGAGCGGGATTATGAGAGCAAACTGATTTTCTTGTTGCAAGCCTAACCTCCCTTTGTGACTCACAGGGCTGCACTTTTTGCTGTTAAAGCAGCTACCCTGAGGAAGCAGGCAGTAGAAAAAGGTTTAGTTTGGCTCCCCCCCCCCTCCCGCACAGAGGGTCTGAGTGGCCTTTTAAAAATAATGTGTTTTAATAGCATATAACTTCTGGTATAGTACTATTTTTGCTGATTCCTTGTTTGTTTGTGCATTTTTGAAATATTTATTTTGAAAACAGATATTCCTGATGCTATACAGTACAAGAAGGCTCTGTGACCTATTTAAAAAGGTGTTTTGCCTCTTGCAACAAGGAAACTCAGTTTCTTTTTGGCCAGAAAAAGGGTGGCCCAGTGGAAGGTGGGTGGGTGAGGGGATGCAGGGACTACAAATCGACGTAGTCCTAGAGATTTGTTCAATAAAGAATAACTTGACTTTGGCCTCGCTTCATTAGCAAAGACTCTCCCTCTTTGTGGGTCACTCTCACCCACAGACAAAAGGGAGGGAGGGAAGGAGGCGGGAAAAGAATGAAAAACGTACTTAAGAGAGGGAAAAGGAGCCTTTTACTAATAGAGAAAGGGGGAAAGGAATAAAAAAAGTCTCTGCTGACGTCGAGGCTCAGTTTCTCATTTCCCTTCCCTTTGAAGGGAGGGGGGAAAGTGATCTTTTTTTTTTTAAATGGCAATTTTAGGCGGTAAAAATGGTCTTCCCGCCCTTTTTGAAGTGTGTTTGTGCGTCACTGGAGAGGAAAGAGAAAAGGGGCAAGGAGGGGGCGCGTGAGGGGAGACGTTGCGCGCGACGCCATGGGCCACTGCGCACGCGCACTACGCCTCCCCTCCCGCAAAAACCCTATACATTAGTGATGCCCAGATCTTTTTCTTCGTCCTCCTCCACTGACTGACACAAACGGGCGAACGCGCACGCGCCTTTCCCCCCCTCCGCGTGGGAAGGGGTCGGGCGGGGCGCACGCACCAATCAGAACCCTGATCCCGCCCCCGGCCTCCCCTCATAGGCCGCCGAGAATGCGCGGCAGTTAACGGTCGCCCGGGGCTCGGCTCCGCCTACTGCCCTCCCTTTAAAAAGACTCGACGACAACCGTTGAGGGCTCCTGGCGCGCACGCGCTTTCCCTTCTTTTCCCCCTTCGGCCCCCCTCCTCCTCCGCTCTCTCTTTACAAACGTTTATCGCCCGGAGGAGGGAGAAAGAAAAGAGGGGGAAGGAAAGCGGCTATAAAAAGAATATGGGGTGTTTTGAGAGGGGAAAAAAAAGGAAAGAAAAAGTGTATACAGGGAGAAGGAGAAAGAGTGGGGGAAAAAATGGCGGCTGACCTGAATCGCACCCCCGCAAAACCCAATTACTCCTGTCAATATTCTCCAATTTCTTTTTGTCCCCCCCCCTCGTTCCCTCGCCTCAGCCACGTACCTTTCTCTTGGGCATGTCGGCGGCGCGTGACAGGAGGAAAAAAAAAAGCGAAAGACGGTTGGAAACGAGAGAAGCACAAGGTCTCAGGGGGAGGAGAATAAAAAGAAAACGGCCAGTCGTGAGGGAGGGGGGAAAAAATGACGGCCGACGGACGGAAAGGGAAAGCCAAAAAATAAAGGGGGAATCCTCCTCCTCCTCCTCCTCTTGCCGGCCTCGCTCGTGCCGCTCGCGACCCCACTAATTTGAATCGGGTGTTTATAAAGTTTTATATAGAGCCGGACGCGGCCCAACCGGTTCCAGCCGGATCCCCACCGCCCCGGCTGCCGATTGGACGGGGCGCGTCACGTGGCGAGGGCCAGCCGGGGCGGGCGCTGCTGCCAGAGGTTGGCAAAGGCGAGGAGGGGGAGCGCCAGAGGAGGGAAGAGGACGGGCGGGCGGGTGGCGGTGCGAGGCCGCGGGGCCCGGGTCTCTCGTTTAAGCACAACATAAGAATAAATATGAAAATATCCCCCTCTGTGTGTGTGTTTCTGCCATAGAAGGAAGGAGGGAAAAACCACTCGGGAGCCATTCTTTATTACACAGTGAACCCAAAAAATACAAATATAAAACGCAACCTGGTCGTCTTTCCTCGCCTCATTCACTTCTCCACACATAATAATAATAATATAATAATATCGTCTTATTAAGGAAGGAAGCGGCGACGAAACGAGCCTGGCCTCTTTTTCCTCACGGCGAGGTCAGGAGGCCCTTTTTTGCCCAGGTAAACAAACAAATGTCGCCTCAAAAGAAGGCCCTGAGGGGACGAGGCGCGCGTTGTCCATTTCTCTTCCCTTCAGGAGACTTCGCTGAGGGGGAAAAAGAAAAAGGCGCGCATATTTCTCCCTCAGCCTCAGGGCGGGAAATAAAGCGTTGGCCGTTAAGACGCCTGACGCTTAGGGAACACTAGGCACCCTTATATAAAATAAAACAAAATGAGGGAAAGCTTTTAACATGGTGGCCTCTCCTTTCCTTCAAAGGGAAAAGGAAGGTGCGGTCATTGCTCGGTAGAGGACGACGACGACGACGGCCGACCGTAACCCAGAGCGCCCTCTTTCTTTTAAACCCTGACTGCTAGAAGCAAATATAGGGGCTCCCTCACAAAAAACAAGCAGCGAAAGGGCCTCCCCTCAGGTGCAGCTATGTTTTTTCTCTCCTCAGTGTATATAACAAACGGTGAGGAGAAAAGGAGAAGATGGTGAAAATTTAGGCTTCTCAGGGGCCAGGTGGGGAGCTGTCCTTTTCAGCACCATTTTAGCACCTTTCCCACCTCCACACAGCAATACAAACAAACAAACAAACAAACCACAAAACCAGGAAACATCCAGAGGTACGCTTGTTGGCCATATAGCAAATCTAATAACATCAAAAATACCCACCAAACAGTGACACCTTTATTGGGTCAATGCACAATATACATGCTGCAAGTTTTCGAAGCTCCGCCAGCTTCTTCATCAGGCGATATGTTAAAAAAACACACAAACCAATGGAGAGGTGTTATTGTGCGCCTCCAAACTCATTTTTGACTTATGGCAACCCTGCCATAGGGTTTTTTTTGGAAATTTCTTCAGATACATTTTGCCCTTGCCATTCTCTGAGGTTGAGAGAGTGCAACTTGCTCAAGGCCACCCAGTGGGTTTCATGGTGGAGCAGGGAATCGAACCCTGACCTTCAGATTCGTAGTCCAATGCTCAGACTACACCACCATATTAGCTCTTATAGGGTATATCAGCAAAAGACAACCAACCTAGGTACCATTGACCAGCAATCAAAAATGGCTGTTGTTATGTGCCTTCAAGAGAGGTAGCTTGGTGTAGTGGTTTGGCGTGTTGGACCATGACTCTGGAGACCAGGATTTGATTCCCCACTCAGCCATGAAACCCACTGGGTGACCTTGGGGCAAGTCACATGCTCTCAGCCTCGGGGGAAGGCAATGGGAAACCTCTGAACAAATCTTGACAGGAAAGCCCTGTGATAGGGTTGCCATATGTCAGAAATTACTTGAAGGCACACATTGGACTATAACTCTGGAAACCACGATTCAAATCCCGCCATGGCCATGAAAACCCACTGAGAAGCCTCAGCTTCAGAGGAAGGCAAAGACAAAAACCCCTTTGAACAAATCTTGCCAAGAAAACCCTGTGATAGAACTGCCTCAGGGTTGCTGTAAATTGGAAACAACTTGAGGGCCTCGTCTCCCCCTCGTCTCCCCCTAGTTTCACACTCAAACCACTACAAATAATAGTACTGTCCTTCAAATGTGGTGTAATAATCTATTGGCACTGCAATGGAAGAGCAAGGGTAGATGTTCTGGTTATTTATGTTCAGAACCAGGATCTTTAGAACACTACTTGCTAAAGGAACTAAACGGCAGTGATGGAGAATATTAACATTAAACTCCTGAAAGCAAGCTGTTGGCTGCTCTGAGAAACATTTCTCTCTAGAAAGTCCAAAAGGCTTCAAGCGTTTTTTTAAAAAATGTAGATTCTTCATAATTTTCCATTGTCCATTGTATTACTTATGTTATAACGTGGTTGCAAGCGCTTTTCCTATAAGATTAAAATTGAAAGAGACAGTTATGTCCTTCCAAGCACAGCCTGGGCTCATTCAGCAGCAAGAGGAAACTGGAAAGAAAAGGAGCAGAATTAGTCAGAAAGGAATGGGAACTGGAGTATATAGTGCATCTGGCTTCAACCCATGATGGAACAACCAGACTCCACTTCCAAAAAGCTGTCCAGTCAAGCCATGTTTCTATCAAGACTTCTCTGCAGACATTCCATCTGACTATCAGTGAAATTGCAAGATGCTGTACATTACCTGTGGATGTTTCTAAACACAGGCATTCTTTTTCATAACATAGGAACCTCCTTTAAATATTCTTAATAATTTTCTCTTGTAGCTCAGCACTGTTTACATCAAGTGGCAACCTTTCCTGGAAATGCCACAGCACAGGTGGAAATCCCAACCCTTCTAATGTTGGTGGAATGGATTGAAAGTCCCCTCAGCCCCAGCCAACACAGTCAATGGTAAGGAATACTGGGAGCTACAGTTCAACATCTGGAGGACAATATGACTCCTACCCATACTAGAGACTGCTATATGCAAAACTTGCTCTGCTGTTGTGCACCACATGAAGTCTTCACTTATATTAAATAAGTTCTAACATTAGTCAAGAAACAGGAAAGAACAACATGTAACCAAGTCTATGGTGATTCAGTTAAAACTAACAAGATTTTAAAGGATGTTTATAGGGCCATGTGCATGACTTTGGCATGACAGTAGCAGAAGAGCCATTAAGTTAATCAAAGCAGCTTGAAATCTTGTTCTAACATACAAGTATTTTCTCAAGGAGCAGAGTAAAACAGAACAGAATGCACATTTCAGAGAATAAAACCGATCCTTCACATGTTGCAGCTAAAGAGATGGGGCAAAGTCCTGGGTATCTGAGTTTAATGTGGAATGGAAAATATCAGAAATAACATTTGGCACTAAAAGCTAAATGGGCCAGTTTTCAAAAACTGGTAGCTACAAAATAGCTGTTTTATTCCATTGGGTTCAACAGAATTTATTTTAGCTGAGAAGAAACTATAGCAGGGGTGAGCAGAAGATAGAACTTCTAGTAAATCTCCAGGAAGTTTGCAGTAAATAAGAAAGGTTTTGCAACTTCCCATTTTTAAAACAGTAGTAACAATATCTTTGCCCAGTTAGCATGAAAAGACTGGATGACTCTGTTCAGTTTTTGTAGTGAAAACAAATATGTAGACTCAGAATATACCTAATTCTTTAATTATAAAATATCAATAGAAATCTTCTTCCCTCCTAATGCAAAGACTGGAACCAGAGCAAGTGGCAAAGGGTTAAGGCCTCTTACCCTTCCATCTTAGTAACCTGACTCTGTCTTCCCATGCTTAGTTTTCAGTAAAAATAGAGAAAACGAAAAAATAATAATTGTACGTGGTATATGAAAGGATGGTCTGTTTTGATACTAAGCGTACAGTATTTCTTTGCACCTGACTATGGTTGATGGATGTTGGTAAAAAAGAAAACAGATGTTACTTAACATCTGCTTCCCCATGAAACACCAGTAACCTTAAAACTGCGATTACAAAACAACATGAGTCGTCCTGTTGCTCTCATTTCTCAGGAACAATACTATCCCTTAACTAGTGCTTGTGAAGAACAAAGTGGCATCACAACTCAACCAGCATTCATCCCAGTTACTCTCTCAGTGTGATTTATACAACCTGTTTAATTGGACCAGCATGAACAAGCAACCTGTTTTGCCCTATTAAAGTTACTGATGTCAAATACCCTGCTGTAGGCACATAAAAGTAAGCTCCGCTGCAAGAGATTTGTTGGGAGCATAGCTTAAATAAAACTTCTAGATACCAAAAGTAGAATCACCCCACTAACATCAATAAATTAGAGGCTTATATCACACACACAAAGAACACTATATTCAGCACAAAAAAACAAACAAGTGGCAGATCAAATTATAACAAAAATAACTGGTTGACAAAACAAAATTGTCTGAAAACAAACTTATTTAGCATTCAGATCAAAGGCTTCCCTGCTGTAACTGAGGAAGCCTTCTCATACATTCCCATGGAGGGTGAACATGCAAGGCAACCTTGTTCTGGCATTTTCTATGGTTGGACAGGATCATTTGAACAGAGGCACTTTTTCAAGTATCCTGGCTCTAAGGCAGGTAGGGCCCTAAAGACAACCACCACTTGGAAAGTGACTAGCATCCAGCAATAGCAACAGCATTTACATTTCTATACCGCTTAACAGTGAACTCAGCACTCTCTAAGCAGTTCTGCAATTTGTAAGCCAGTTGCCCCCAACCAGCTGGGTATCCATTTTACTGACCTACAAAAGGATGGAAGGCTGAGTCAACCTAGGAGCCCTGGGATCGAATTCACAACCTTGTGGCTACAATACTGGCATTTAACCACTGTGCCACCAGGGCTCCAGTGCAGAGTGAATACAGTCCTAACCACGAAGGAAGACAAGGCTCTGCAAAACATTGGACATTCAATGTTAGGATCTTACCAAATAAAAGCTAAAAACCTTAATATAAATACAAATTCATGCTTCTTAGTCATGCTCAAAATGAAGGACATTTTGAACTTGCTCCTGGACATACAATTCAAATGTAGGCCATGTCCTGGAAAAGGAGAATGTCTGGTCACCTTGATCCAGTGTAACTGGCCCCCTTTCCCCCAAAAAGAGTATGCCCCCCAAAACTTGACCCTGATCAGTAGCTGCACTGCTTCAGCCTGTACTATTTTATTATATATATCTATGCCTTCATCTAAGGATGGATTTTATAGTGGTGGGCTTTTTCTGTAGCAGAATCTCTGCGGCAGAACTCCTCCCCCCCCCATAGTGAAGTCAGGTTTGTTAGCTCTGCCCTTGTAGTGCTTCCAAAAGGAAATTAAAATGGTATTATTTTGTCAGGCCTTTGGCTTTTACAAATCTCTAAAGTATGTTTTGTTTTGTTTTTACATTGCGATTTTGCTATAAAACACTTTGGGGATCCCGGTGGACAGAAAAGTGGTGTGTAAGTATTGCAAATAAGTAGTGAACCCACCACACTTTCCAAAGGGAGTAATCCGGTTTTAACGTGTAGCCATGTCTGTTTCTTCTTCCTCTTCTTTCCAACCAAAGCTGGGGAAAAGCGATTCCTAGCTTACACCTGAGAATCCAAGAGAAAGGCAGAATCAGGGAGTATTCACAAGCTTAAAAACTGCTCTTTCAGTGAAGGTGCAATCCATTCCAAATAGACTAAACTCTACTACTGCATGAGACCAAGCAAAATCCACATTTTTGGAGGTGTTTCCACCATATTTTACTTTAATATGCTTAACTGGTTTATGGATAAAGTTTTTTTGGGTTCTTTATAATGCCTTCTAGCCCCAAGTTGAAAATAACAATAGTCAGCCCTCTGTATTCATGGATTCTTTATCCATGGATTCAACCATCCACGGCTTGAAAATATTCCCCAAAAAATCTATATTCTAAAAAGCAAACCTCGATTTTGCCATTTTATAAAAGGGACAGCATTTTACTATGCCATTTAATGGGACTTGGGAACATTTTGGTATCCACGGGAAGTCCTGAAACTAAATCCCAGCAGACAAGGGCCCACTGTAATAATGACAAACTTCTAGTATTGTGCCCAGTATTATCATCATCATCATCATCAATTATTATCATTATTATTATACATTAGATATGTTCAGTTTCCCAATTTTTTTTTTAACTTTGCCTAGATGACTGCTATTATAAGGCAAACTGTAAGGGGAGGTCCCAGATTCCTCCAGGAATCTCAGTGAGCTTCTCTAGATAAGAAAAAGTCTCGAGTCTCACATATACCTTGCATACATAGCCTGAAGGCAATTTTTTACAATATTTTTAAAATATTGTGTGCATGAAACAAAGTTTGTGTACACTGAACCCCTGAATTTGTGGCATCATGTTGGCACTCAAAAAGTTTTGGATTTGGGATGCTCAACTTGTACCAGAACTAGCTAAGATGGCTGCTGCCAAGAAACATAGTGACTGTTCCCAGTACAGCAGATTCAACAGAGATTGAATGTAAGAAAGAGAAATGCTAACAATAAAAAAAGAGAAAAGATCCTAATGCTTTAGTGTAATATTGGTGAAACTCCTGAATAATAATTTTAAAGGTCTCAGTGGA